TGAGCCAGATCTTTTTTATTCTCTGTAAGAATTAAAAATTTTCCAAGTTGTATATTTTAGTCGTTGATATATATATATATATATATATATATATATATGTATCAGTTTTGAATAGTAAAATTGATAGTTTAATGACATACATAAAACGGATACAAAATAAACCTATCAAATATCAGATTTGTAGCTCCCCTTAAATAAGTTTCTTGTCTAGATAAATATTAACAAATCTTCTTATATAGCAGAATGGTTTTAACTTTCAAATTTACCATTTTAGGTAAACAGTTCTAATTTAATTAAAAAAATTATCTTTTTTAAATCTAAAAATTGGATTTCTTAAGTCATTTTAAATTCACACTAATATTATTGCAAAATATTCCCGTATTAAGCTTTCCATTTTTAGTCATCGAAGTAATTTTAAGGTTATTTAACTTTGTTACAAATTCCATATTTTAATACTAGAAACGTATTTATTCTGTTTTCCACCTGATGTACTTTGGCATACATTTAATTTCTAATACACATTTAATTAATAAATTGATAATTATGAGCATCTGCAGAATTTTCATAACTAACAAAAAAATTCGAAATCCCTTATATTAATATCTTGGGATTTTCACTTCCCTTTTAATCCATTCCTTTTCCACATATTGTTGCACTGTGTTCGTGTATGTAGAATTTATATATTTTGTATTGAATTTATGCCAATTTATATTTAAATGATAATTTTTGCAAATTCTTGCATCATAACTCTAGTTAATAGAAGATGTTTCTAACACCTTGGCAAAGCTTAAACTTCAGCATGTAGCTTATTTTCTAGCCTAGTTTCAGGATGAATAATTTGTAAAATTAATTACTTGAAATTATCTATTAACAAAGATGGTCGCTAAATCACGCTAATAATATTTTTAACTGTTGTAATTTATAATGCAACGAGCTCATGCGATTAGTAATATAATTCATTTATAAATTTTTCAGCAGTATTGAAATTAATAGCAGATACTGATAATGTTATACATTTAGATTACAATGATTTAGCCTTCTTCACTCATGCTTGTGATTGTGATATGTAATTGTATTATTTTATTTTTATTTTCCTCTTGGCTACAATTGGCTTCGAAAAGTTAAATTGTAACCCTGGAGGCAGCAGGTAGAAGAAATTTTGATTGGCGCAGTTGGACTATAGCTCGACCCGGGGACATTTTCATTAGCGCAGTTGGAGTACCCCCAGAAATGTAATATGGAATGTAAGGGTAAGTGATATGCACTTTTAGACAAAAATTCTTTGTTTGTTTAAAAAAATAAGAGCCAGGGTAATGAATTTGCGGGAAACTCGTCTGACATATGATTCAAGTTGTGAGCAAAAGGATAGATGTTGTGAGCAAAAGGATAATTTAATATGGAAAAACTTAAGTTCGCCCTTAATAATACTTACATCATTATCTTAAAAAGAGATTCAAAAGAGAACCATGAAGGCGTAAGCTCATATCATCCAACAGCTTTTACGTCTGTTGTAGTCTTCTAAAAAAATTATTGGTTGATACAACTGATTGTGTACCAATTTATTATTATTTTAAATCAAAGTAGTATCAAGTCAAAGTGAGTTAAATGAAAGGCGAGCTTTTAGCTCTGAATTGTACATTTACTTTCATGCACTGCACATGTGTATTATACGTATGTACATTAATGTTTAACAATGCTTTTACCTAAAACATTTTGTGCGGTAAAGTTTTTGATTAATTTCACAAATTGATTTACTTTATTAAATTGACTGCTCATTTTTGCGTAAAGTGTGAGTTACGCTGTAAAATAAAAAAAAAAAAAAAAAAAATCTGAAAAGTTTCAGATTTTAAATTACGTCCAAAGAGGCGTTTTTTTAACATTTTGTGTGTTACCTTTCTTTATTAAATATCATGTTCCTCGCACTTAAACCATAAGATCTAGTGCAACAGCAATTTCGCAAAATAGTTTTAAAACGAGCATATCTTTAGAATTTCCGATACAGAGACTCACGCGCTGGAGATATAAATGTTTTTTCTGCACAACGTTGCCATTGCTCGCTTTGAAATCCTTGAGTTTTGTTAATCAAAAATTCGTCAAAGTTTTACAAAAAAAATAGGAAATCGATCATAAAACAAATTTCAAATTTCAAATTTGGTCTTCCACATGCTCATATTCGTTGGAGGATTACCGTTATTCAAAATTCGATGACTCTATGTACCGTGTTGTTTTATCACAATACGAGAATAGACATACATTTATGCAGATTTTCATTATTTAATTTCTTCAATATAATGCAGGACTCTAACATTTTGTGGCAACAGTTTTGAAAAGTGAACCGACATTTATGAGTCCGACGCAAAATGCCAAAACAAAACTAATAGTCCTTCGGGATTCAAATCCCTTTGGACTAATAAAATTAATTTATCCACCTTCGTTTAATTTTTATTTAGTATAATTTATTTATTAATTAATCTTCATTTAATGTTATCTCCAATTCGTAAACTGTATTAAATTTTTTTTAAGTTGGGTTTATTCCCTACGTTTTAATTCTCTTATTCTTATTCCCATAATGCAGTTTCTCATGTCCATGTTCTTTACCTCAATACATGCTTCTGTAACATTACCTGATTTACTTACCGAAACAGCGAAACATATTTACTGTCATAAAATATTTCAAAACGTGCGAAAAATTCTTATGTGATGCGTAAGTTTAAATTTTATTTACGAAAATATCTTAAAAGTATTAAAAAAAAAACATATGTGGCTTTTAAAATGTGTATTCGTTTTAATGCAAGTCACTGCAATTATTCAAATTTTTCGGGTTATTTAATAGTGCTGCCATCTATCGACAATAAAAGGACTGTTTCTCTTCCAAAGTATTTTTGTACAGGCAATTTCAGAAATTCTCGATAACTATACGAACTTCTACACTTTTCTGTTGCTACTAATTCTGTCTCTGTGTGGCATGGAGAAAGAAATGTGGCATACTAAACTACCAATGCATGAAATATTCCCTTATTAGCCAATAAAAAAATAAAAGGGGACTTTACCAGTGTTTATAAATTTATAAAATAAAACCTGAGTGTCAGTTTTTAGACGAGCATGAAATTTAAAAAATAAAAGGCACTCTGTCAAAGTACCATTTGATTGCTACTATTTGAAAAAGAAATTGGCTCGATAACATAGATCTCAGTACTATACGAAGATATTTTCGTACATCCGGGAAAGGATGTCTCTGACGTCTTTCAATCTTTTTACGACTAATGGGTCACGTGTGTGCCAATAAATGCATGGCCCGCTGATATATATATATATATATGTAAAGTTTATTTACTAAAGTAATATTGATTATATTATCTCCTAATATATAGAAGAATGTATTTGAATGAAGTAACCCAGAAGCATTTAAAATTGAATCCTGAAAAACATTTTCTTGAAGGAATATGAAGTTTAATCATGAAAACTAGAAATGGAGACTTTAAAAATGAAAATTAATCAGTAAACTAAGTAATTATCATTATTGATCGAAAATTGGTTGATTTTGCAAGGGGAACTACTAGTACTGGTATCGCCGATTAACAACTAACGCGTCCTAGCTATCGAAACTGTGTTTAGATAGCGTAGCATGGGCTTCTGGAAACTGCGGGAAAAATCTTCCAAAACGTCGCCTACTTGGAGACAAAAACTGTAACCAAGACTCTCAGAAGTGTTTTTGCCCATATCTCTCGTTATAGTTGACCTGTTTTTACAATTTAAAGATTGTTGGATAGAAAATTGGAAGGTCTGAGATTCCACCGCTTGACAGTTGTTAAAGAACAACCACTTTATGCAGGGTAGCGTTCCCAACAGCCGACTAATAACAAGGACGTCAGGGTCCGTTATCTGTATACAAGGCAGTGCACAGAAGCTCTTCATTTTTCGAAAATTCATGCTGTTAAGTGTTTGACCAAAAGAGCGCCGTACGTTGTTGAACTCATCTCTGGGAAATTCAGTGTGCTATTGCAATAATTAAGTCCAAAATGTCTGCAAGACATGATTTCAGTGATTGCAATCGTGGACGAGCAGTTAGAGCTCGACCAAAAGAGCGCCAAAGACCAAAAGAGCGCCGTTCGTTGTTGAACTCACCTCTGGGAAATTCAGTGTGGTGTTGCAATAATTAAGTCCAAAATGTCTGCAAGACATGATTTCAATGATTACAATCGTGGACGAGCAGTTGGAGCTCGACCAAAAGAGCGCCGTTCGTTGTTGAACTCACCTCTGGGAAATTCAGTGTGATGTTGCAATAATTAAGTCCAAAATGTCTGCAAGACATGATTTCAGTGATTACAATCGTGGACAAGCAGTTGGAGCTCGAGCAAAAGAGCACCGTACGTTGTTGAACTCATCTCTGGGAAATTCAGTGGGGTGTTGCAATGATTAAGTCCAAAATGTCTGCAAGACATGATTTCAGTGATTACAATCGTGGACGAGCAGTTGGAGCTCGACCAAAAGAGCGCCGTACGTTGTTGAACTCATCTCCGGGAAATTCAGTGTGGTGTTGCAATAATTAAGTCCAAAATGTCTGCAAGACATGATTTCAGTGATTATAATCGTGGACGAGAAGTTGGACGGCTGGAAGTAGATCAAAGTGTCACCACTATGGCCACAACAATGGGAGTGTCAAAAAGTGTCATCTCGCGATTAAAAAAAGACTGCTGACGGTTGAAATACTGTAAAAACAAAAATGCAATCAAATGAATTTAAATGTTTGCAGAAATTTACCATAATATATAAAAATATTCTTTTTTATGTTTAAAAATTCTATCTCACATTGTTATAACTAACATATTATCTGTTGCAACTAGAAAGAACTTCGGTGTTAAATTTTATTTATTGCTAAAAATTAAACAAAGAACAATTTTGCAAGAATGAAATTCTGACTAACAATGTAAGAGTCTTTTGATAGATAAAATTAAAACCAACAAATAATCTTGAAACAACATTTGCATCTTTCAGCTTGCATGAAAAGTGAATCTCTCGAGAAAGCAATGGACTACAAAAAATATATTTGCGATAGTTCTTCTGATAATCACTTTAATAGATTGCATGTGTTATGCGATGGTTATCTGCTAACAGAAGACGGTTCTGAGTTTGGAATTCATAAGATTATTTTAGCGCTGCATAGTAACTATTTTCAAGCTCTTTTTGGCTTTGGTAATGGTCCTGGAAAATATATGCTTATACCAGGTATAGATGGACATACTCTTAACAACGTTCTGTCCTACATTTATACGGGATCCGTTCACTTGTGTGATGAAAATATTCGGGAAATGTTAGTTGCCTCAGATTACTTAATGGTTGAACCTTTGTTAAAGGAATGTAGAATGTTTGCTGTTCATAAGATGACAGTCACCAGTTGTTTGCCATTGTTCGTTACTGCCTGGGAAAATGAGAGTTTGAGTATTTTAAATAATTGCTATCGGTTTATACAAACTCATTTTGAATGTATTCTTCGTCATCCAAAATCAGATATTAGCAAACTTCCCTTTGAAGCTTTGAAGAAACTTCTTGGAGATAAGAGCTTGAACGTTTCAAGAGAAAGGACTGTTTGGTTAAGTATCATCTTATGGGTAGAGAAGAAGCTTCCTGAGAGACTGCTGCACGTCCCCGAACTCTTGAAGCAAATGAGCTTAAAAGATATGGATGAAGTACTGCTAAATAAAATCGCTTTGCATCCTATAGTTCAACATAATCCAGCTTTTGAACATACCTCAAAGAACGAAGAAACGCATATCTCAGAATTGAAGTCTTTACTCCTGCACAATCAAAATTTCTGCTTGAACGGTCCTCGCGTCCCATTGTACTTGAACCTGATCATATATCATTGCGCATTTGATTTTAAGGATAATATCCAAATTTTTCTTACGTATGACGACAAGCTAGACATCTGGCGAAAGATTAGTGAAGCAGCATTTTACCCGGATATCATAATTCCTTGCAAGCAATATGTTTACCTGTTCAATACTTGGGAAAATAGCTGCATAATCTTTGATATAATCGACAAAAGCTGGACTATGCCTAACAACATGAATATCACGAGATATGAATATTCTGTGGTCAAACTAGAAGACAGAGTGTATTCTTTGGGAGGTTGGACTGAAGATAACGTACCAACAAATTCAGTAGAGTACTATGATCCTGATATGAATATATGGTTTCAAGCAAATCCGATGCACCCAATGAATTCATATGTAGCTGTTTCCCTGAACGGGCAGATATATGTATTTGGTGATATCAGTGACGACGAAGATTTAATTATGGGAGCACAAGTTTACAATCCGCACTCGGACGAATGGAATACTATTACACCTCCAAAAGTATTACGTGAAGACTTTGCTGCAGTAGTTTACGAAGGTTATATATACCTCATAGGAGGTCATAACAACATTAATGCACTGTTCAATGTAGAAATGTATGATCCAGTCAAAGATACATGGTTAGATCTGCCCTGTTTACCTTTTCCTTATTTCATGCCGAAGGCTATTGTCTTGCAAAATATGTTGTTAGTGTTCGACAATCATCTAGATGACCGTAAATATTACAAAACCTCCCCACCTTTACTGTGGAACATGAATGAATGCAGTTGGCAAGTCATCAGCACACCTTCACCAATGAATGAATTACATTTGTATCACTTTTGTGAGTTGGATGATTACGAAATCGTCGAAATCCTTACTCGAGAAAACAGATGCCTAGAAACGCAGTGGGAAAGGAGCCCTTTTGCTTAATTTTCGAAAATTAATCTGGAATACTGTGAAGAAGAAAAGAGAAAATCCGACGCATATTTTAATTTTAATAAAAGAATTATCATCCGTTACCCCCTGTTGTTGCATTTCACTGAAGTTGAACTTATTTAATGTTTAATACCGGAAAGTTAGCATTTTTATGTAGTATATGTTATAAGGGTTTTCTCCCGCCTTCTTAGCATGCTTTAGTGTAGTGGTCAGGACGCTCGATGTGTATTCCAGAGGTCCGTGGTTCGATTCCCGGTGAGGACGTTGCTCATTTTTCATCTCTCCTGCTTCAAAATAAACCTAATGTCTCTACAACGCTGATGGAACGAGACGGCTCCCGACATAATGCGACCTAATAGGCACCAAACGGGATTAAGTGCCGCCCCGCCCTTGATCGATGGACATGTTGCGACCCCACAGAGCAAGGGCAAACAAGGCAGTACCAGTACGGTCCCTGCCGAACTTTACTCTGTCCTGAGAGCCCTCAGGCCTTCTGTGAAGTCTGTTATTATGCCCCCGTGATTGAGATTGCCTAGGTACAGATCCTAACCAGTACTTCCCTGGAATTCTAAGTCAACCCCCCCGGGAGGGGGCTAATGTCTCTACAGTGGCGTCCGAACTAAAAAAGGTGGTGAACAATGATTCTTCACCACCAGGATTAAGTCCCCTAACCCACAGTCGCCCTTTAAAAGGGGAGTATATAAGGTATTTTTCTTTCTTTCTTAGCATGTCTTTGTGGTGCAGAGGTCAGCACACTTGGCGTGTATCGAGGGCATTGCTCATTTTTCATGTCTCCTGCTTCGAAATAGCCTAATGTCTCTACAATTTTTTCCTTCGTGGTGCAGTTGGAAGCATACTCGACGCGTGTTAGAGAGGTCCAGGGTTCGAGTCCCATCGAGAGCATTGCCCATTTTTCACGTATCCTGCTTTAAAAAAAAAAAAAAAAAATGAAAAAAAAAAAAAAAAGAAAAGAAAACCTAATGACTCTACCTATGCTCATGCTAAATATTCTCTTCGAAACAATGGGTTCTCATTGTATGTGTCTCATTCCATTTTACTTTCTATTTCCACATTTATTTTGAATATTATATATAAATTCTTAAAAATATGCAGAATTTAAATGTGACGCTATCATTAAAATGCTGAAGATTCAAATCTATTATAGGTGATACTATTTGATTTATTTAATTTTTTATCACATAGAAAATATATTGATAACGGTTCTTTCAATGAACAAGTTTAGTTTGTTTCAATTAGTTTAGTTAGTGTTATTTTGTTTTAGTTCTCAATGAACAAGTTTAGTCCAATCAAGGTAGTTTGAACGGTTCTCTCAATGAGTGTAAGAAAATATTTCGATAAAGTGATATATAAAACAATTTAAAGAAAACTAGATTCACGATATTAGGCAATGGAATTTTTATAAACTGAATAAAATACTATACTTATCTGTTGTATAGTGGTTGTTCCAAAACGTTAACATAAATTATAAAAAAATGTATTGTACTAATCTGAAATAAATATTCTTGAGACCCTTTACAAAGCAATCCTGTCTGGAAGAAATATGCTTGTCAAAATGCTGTTGCCACTTTTCAAAGATACTCCGGAAAAAACTTTTTGTATTTCACAATTTTCTCAGCGACTTTGGTCACCTTTAATATCAGTTTAAGATATATTTAATTTCGAATGTGTGTCTCAAAAAAAAAAGGAAGAAATTACATAGAGTTAAATGCGGAAGATAAGAGAAAATTTCGGTAATTCTTCTTGCCTAGATATTACTGACCTTATATGTTATATGCAGTAGATGAGCGTTAGGATGGAATTTTTAGCTACTTTTTTCCAATACTGATATGTCATTTCTTTTGAATGGGATGATGAGCGTTGAAAATTCCAGAACACTAAAGTCTGCATTAATTTTTACATTTTAGGGGTGTGGGTTTGTTGCAGCTTTCCTGCAAATCAAGGGCAGGAAGTTAATGACTAGAATTTCTTCAACAGGTTTTCCAGTTCTTGCTTATTTTGAATTAAAGACGAAGTTCGTTTTGCCACCTGTCTCTTGACTTCTGCACCGTATGAAGACATGCCCTACCAATTGCAATCATTGATTCTTCTCTTGTTTAAGAACTTTTCTCATATAAGTGGAAACTTATTTGTTTCCACTTAGATGAGAAATGTAAATTCAGTAAAAAATAAAGAAAGAAATTGGTTGATAAAAGATCACTTAGATGTATTAATGCGAATAAAATTAAATCTAAGTTGTAGAAACAGTGTAAATTTAGGTCGTATATACGCTGAATGGTTAAATTTTAAAGATAGAAGAGAAAAGATTTAATATATACTAATATAAACGTAGCATTTATTTCTTTTTACTTCCTTGTACGAAGTAAAAAGGAAGTATTGTAATCGCGAAAAGTTTCAGGCAGCATATTTCAAAGAAAATATCCATTTTGACCGCTATCGAATGCAATTTAACGATGTTTTTGCGTGATATCTGTACGTAAGGACAGAATAAAAAACTCGTTTCCTCCAAAAAAAATTATAAAACAGTTAATTCTGAAATTAAAATTAATTCTGAAGTTAATTCTAATTAAAATTAATTCTGAAGAGAATTTTTCGTGGCGTCTGTACGTACGTATCTCGCATAATTCAAAAACGAGTAGCCTCAGAACGTCGAAATTTTGTATGTAGGGACTGCTATAACATGTAGATGTGCACCTCGTATTTTGGTTGTAATCGGCCGCACCAAACGTATATAAGTATATTTATATATATATCCACTCTGTTACCCGGCTCAGTGATCTCAGTTTCTTTACTCGTATATGCTTGTAAATTGTACATTTTTTTTGCTTTAAAAATGGTTGAATTATGTTGTTCTTATCTTCCGGGTAAGGTTTTTATGCCTTTAGTAAATCTATATGCAATATTTTTAGAATTATCAACAATTTTAAAGTTGTTTAAGTGCCGCTAAGTCTTTTTTTGATGGCGGCCATTGATTGTTTACATTTGAAACAGCAGATTAGTGGATTTGTTGCCAATCTAGAGAAACTTAGCTTCGCAACAACAAAGATAACGCCTTCATTTATTATTGCGAATTAAATCATGCGTAATCCTTTCTGGAATTTTTTCGAGGAAATCAGTGTTTAAGATTTACTTCGTAATTTTTAATGTAGATATTTTGAGTTTTTATGTATTTTTGCCTTCTCGCGAAGGGAGAACTGAATTAATTGAATGAGAAATACTCAATCGTCTGTGAAAAACTGTTTTTTTGTTTTGTTTGCTTAATTTCTTTTATACATCGTTCTAGCTTTATTATAGTATTTGAATATAACATGTGGCAACGATTAGATAATTCTATTCTTTAAATGATATAAATTTTGTGCATTATGAGTTATAATATGAACGAAATATAATACTTTTAAGTGAATCTAGCGCCAGAGTGTCGCTATGGTAAACAAATACTAGAGTGAATTTTAAAGAATGCATTTATTCTATTGTGGTTTATGCGCTTTTGGCGAAGTAGATTTAATTCAATCCAATAAGTTTAAATGAAATGCAAGAAAAAATGCATATAATTTAATATTCTGTACCAGGAAGTCATGTGGTGTACACATCAGATTTTTTATTTTCATAAATCCTTGTTGTTATTATTATTAGTATTTATTATTACCATTATTGCTATTATTATTACTGTTAGAGCCAAGTTATGGTTTAGTAACTAATTTTTTTATCTATATTAATGTATTGATCCTTATAATTAATAAGTATTTCTTTAAATAGGTGTGTTTTTGAAAATAATGAATGTTATTAAAACAGAATTAATTTTAATATGAAAGTAATAAGAAGAAAAGAAAACTGGCGCAGATCAAAATAAAGTTATATATTAACTCTAGCTTAATGATTTTTATGAAGCTCTTCACTTATACGCGGGATCCATAACTACAACAGGACTCTCTGGCAGTCCGCTTCGGGTGCTGAAATTCTTTGCAGTTTCACTTTCCGGATTTATATCTATTGGAGAATTGGAAATATTTTGATTAGCATTTGCATCATCGTTAGAATTGTTTGGTATAAAATATTCATAGAATCAGTAGACATTTTTATCAGACTTCGTAGGAGAAAACGTGTATGAAATGCTTGAAATATTTTCATATTTAAGCAATTTAAGTAAATGGTAAATATTTTAATGAAAATTAAAGATATTCCAAAGATGTAATTCGCTTTAAAAAATTTGCTTAATCATTAAGAAGTAAAGGGAAAAATAGTTTTTGTATTTATCGGGTAGAATATTTTTTTCCGATATGTATATTTACACTCCAAATAAGAATGCATTCTATATTGCAAAATGTTCGTTTTTTGACTTCCAAATGCTATATTTTCTTTGTTGTTAAATTGAAATATCTGATGGAAAAATTTCTTGTGGAAGTAGAGATTTATACTCGATAAAGATATATACTTATTGGAGAAAAAGTTTATGCTTTAAAGACATTTTAAAGTTTCTGAATAATTAATAAACTACACAAATCTGTGATTTAGTAGGAAGGCCGAAGTCCGCAATTTGTGATTTTTTTATATCTGAATGATAAAAAGAATGTTAAAAAAATAAAATAAAATCTTTGAGATTTTATATTGCACCCAAAGAGGCTTTTCTTTATCGTTTTGTGTGTTGTTACCTTTATTTATTACATATCGTGCTTTTAGCACTTAAAACACTAAAATTCAATTCAACAACAATATTACAAAATATTTAAAAACAGCATATCCTTAGAGTTTCCTATAGACAGTCTCGCGCACTGGAAATAAAAATGCTGTTTTCCATGCAGTGTTGTCATTGCTCGCTTTGAAATCGTTGAGTTTGTTAATCAAAAACTCATTAAAGTTTTATAATACACAAAATAGATAATAAAACAAATTCGAAATTCGGGCGTCCAGGCGTCCATGTTCGGGTGGAGGATTGCGTTATTCAAAATTTGATGGCTCTATGTACCGTCGTTTTCTCA